AAATTTTTGATTTATACACCTCGAGTGTGACCTATTGAACACTTAACAAAATGTACCTATCAAACACAATACTAACAGTCTCCAGGCACGTGAAACTCAAACGCAGATGACATGGAGATTAAACAAATGAGACGATGACAAGTGGAACTGAGACCAAATAATAATCCCAAAAAAGGGAACTATCCTAGCTGGATTGTTTACCGCAATAAAAAAACCTTTCAGATTGCTACAACCTCCCCTCTGTCACTCTTCATCCACCATCATGCCGACACTACTGTTCCTACTTCACCGTGGTTCTACCACCTGGAACCAAATTGCTGCGGCATCAACTTCCTTGTTGAGAGAGCTGCTTGGAACACTATTTTCTGCAGATAATTTGATAAGACATATCAGCTGGTGTTTTTTATGTGAAGATGGTTAATCATTACTCATTTCTCTGTAACATAGCAACACAGCTATGGACTTCTTGAGATTCTCTTTAGTGCTAACAATACTATGTCTAGGACTGTTTTTTTTTTTTTTTTTTGATGAAGTAAGGTGTTCCATTAAAAAAGCATCAAGAAGATGCATAGTCTAGGACTGTTGTTTAACTCTTCAATGCTGGAAGGGGAAGGGCAGAGGTTAAAATGTAATCCCATAGGCTGTTATGCGGACAATGTGGAGAGAACCAAATCGAAGGCCATGTGATGGAATAAGAAATTACTTGATCAGATTTATGCTATTGTGCTTTTTGTACACTTCTGGATTACACTAGAGATAATGCATAGGTGGCTGGTTGGATTATGTGGATTGGAGCGTCAGTCTACGGTTCTATTTACCTCTTTCTACTCCCTCTTCGCTTACTGTCAATAAAATTCACTTATCTACAGAAAATGGAAGATTATGTAGAAACTATCACAAAAGAACGCGAAGAACAAGTTATTGTTTACTCTGGAGCTCAATTTTACTAGAACATGTCAAGCAAATCCAATTTTATGAATTGAATCGACTAGAGCCAGTTCAGCATGATGATTCTTGCTGATATTCCTAAATATATGCATGTGGAAATGGTGAAATTTTGGCTAAGTAGGACTTCTTAATAATCAGGAAATTTCATGCTTATTGAACTTACTCTTCGTATAAATCCCTTTCAGATACCAAAGCTGGTTTACCGGGAAGCTCTCAGATCGAGCATGCTTCACTCAACTATGCCCCAAGGTGTAAGAAAAGAATTCTTTGAGAGGTACTTTAACATATATTCTCCGGAGAATATTCACCGCTTCATACTGCAAGAAGTACACATGTCAGATGTTGGCTATATACGCAGCGGAACATTTGGTTTTACTCGGTTAATTGATATGTCACCTATGGAGGTTTCATTTTCGGCAACTGGTTCTTTCTTGGAATAATTGTTATTCTCAATTGTGAGAAGCAACCGGCAATTTTCAGATGAAATTTTGGACTTGCTGATGGAGTCTGAGGATGATGATCTCTATTTTAGTCACCTTGGACGGGACAAAGTAAGAGCAGTGACACTTATTGCTTCCATCTAGGACAGGAACAGATTTATTAAGAACAAGACTTGCCACAGGTCCTGGTGATGCACCATTTGAAGCTTTGGTCATGGAACATCAGGATAGGCTTTTATCTAATGTTAATCTCTTACATTCCATATATTCCTTCATTCCTAGAACGAGAGCACCCCCTGTAAGTGGTATTACATTGTTTGCTCTTACTTTGTGCTCTCCATGCACAAGCAATTGGTTACTAACTACCAGATGTATCTTGTAGATAAATGCTCATTGCTCGGATAGAAATTTTGCTTACAAAATGCTCGAGGAACTACACCATCCACGGATTAAGAGGTTGCTGGTTGGGTTTGCACGCACATCGGAATATAATGGTCCTATGAAGCCAGGTGTCACACACCATTTAATACAAGAGAAGACTCTAAATTACCTGTCTCACAACCTGCTCTTCAGCTTACATACAAAATATCTGGGTCATGTCCACCTGTGCAACCATTTGACCCTGCAAAGATGCTAACAGTATGTTATCTTTTCCATTGATGTCTTCCTTCTCTTTTCCTTTCCTCTTTAATACATCTATGTGCCTTTAAGCACATACAGTATCTAAATGTCCTATGTAATTACAGGACTCAGGGAAGCTTCAAACACTTGACATACTATTAAAGTGCTTGCGGGCAGGGAATCACCGTGTTCTTCTCTTTGCACAAATGACAAAAATGTTGGATATTATAGAGGTATTTGAATCTTTCTGCTGCACCTTGACCGTTTAGATTTGTCTTTTTGTAATGCTATGATGCTAGTAGCAGTGGCAGTTTCTCTGCCTATGCAACTGTATGTTTGTATTTGGTTGTAGCTTTGGAGAGTTGAAAAGAGTGAGACT